AAAATTGTTGCCGTCAAATAATATTATATTATCTAAGAAATAACACAAAAAACAGAACTTCGGCAAGCTTCGGCAAATGTCAAAACTCCAACTGAAAGTTTAAGCAACGAAAATAGTCCACATTATGATGTAGATTTTTTTATTGAATAATATTAAAAAAGCTGCATATATTTAAATTTTATAGAAAAGAAGACATTCTAAGCTTTCTAAAATGGTATCACACTTACATGACTTCTTTTGTTATGATACTATAAAATTATACCAAACTAACCGAAATCTAATTTTTATATTTGTATTTTTTTCATTCCCTGACTTTAGATGTTCTTCTTTATAAAATACGAAGAGTCAGAGACTTAAATTATATTGATTATAATAAAGTAACTCTTTAGCTATAATTTGATGTATAATACATGCCTCGAATAACAGTTACGAAAAAAGCATTTATGAGATGGCTTTCTTAGGCGGGTTCCCATAGTGCGTCGTCAACGTGAAGGTATATTACCGTGGTGCCGGTAACGGATCGTGATGACGGAAAAATATTAATCTACCGGTTTGCATGTGGGGTGGCCGTACGAATGGGTAGAAAATGGGGAAAAACCGAGCACGTCAGACGTTGAGAAGGGATGTAAAGTGAACCCTCCAGTAGTCAAAAGATTGACGTATTGGACTAGACGACAAGTCATGACCGATTGTTTGAATTGTTATTTTTTTTGCTGCCCTAGACTTTCGACCCTATATAAAAGGTTTAGGTATTGTGAGAGTAGTTCTCAAGATGCAAGGTTATAAGGGGTTAAGGGGTGTTGCCGCATTTGAGTAAATCCTAAAATCCCCACTTGGGCTCCTCTACTATAATGTTCTATAGGCTGATGTCTTTCGTATAATGGCGCGTTAATTTGGCTCAGGGGTCTTTAGCCAAAATATCAACAGCTTTCTGTCTTAAAATGTATAAGTCCTACGGAAGCTCTCGACTTCTCTCAAAATATTGTCAATCTCATGTACTGCGACATTAAGATTTTGAGTTACGTTTAAAAAATATACACATAAAGTGACAAAAAATATAATAACAAACAGAAGCATAACATTATGAAAGAACAGTTTGAAAATAGAAGAACCACTGCAAGACACTTATCTTGATACAGTACAGTAATATGCAAGAAAATCAGCATGTTATAAAGAAGGTTACCATAATATAGGAATATTTTAATGGTGGAATATAGGAATTCACAAAGAGAAAAATCAAATAACAGCTGAACATGCCATATAATTAATGGCAAGGATGGGTGTAAAAGTTAAGATAGTTGCAACACATTGCTATAGAAAAGGAAATACATGTATTTCACTGACCCCAAATACAATTGCGAACAAAGGAAGGGATTGATATGTTCGACGGCTAAGCCAAAAAAGTCATTATTTTTGGAAATTATGGTCTACAATCTTAATTATTTTAATTTACTAAATGTGTTCTATATTGTCACTTAAAATTATATTCTAAATGTGCATAATTTCTTTCTCTCCCCTGGGTTGTCCCCTAACCGTTTGTTTTTTGTAAATCAGTAATTTTGAGTCCATTGAAATTTAATTATTACTTTTCTATCGGTAATAACATGAACCCGGATAACTTAGTTACAGTATGTAACCATTAAATTCATTTATATTTGCACTTTTTATAAAAAATATTAATCGCAAACTGTGTCCTCCGAGTTTCGTGTCTCGCCCCCTGGCCTTAGATTTAGTTTGAAAATCGTATTTGTTTACCATAGTCTGTGGTAGATTTGACCTTGAAGACACCGAGTGTCACATGAAGTTAGCAACAAGCGCTGCACAAGCCATCCGCGTGGCAATTTTTTTGGCCATTTACGCAATGGTGCTCGTTGAATGCAGCCGTGTAGAGTGATTGAAGTATTTACCCTGGTATTTTTTTTTCATATTTATGTGTTTAAATACTACAATATCTATATACATTTATTTTAAATAGTGCTGAAAACCTTTCATTTATTTGTAATCTTTGTAAAATTAGTAGTTTTACGGCAATTTTAGATTCTTAACGAATATGTCTCTCCCCTGCCATATTTCCCCTGGCTGTTATGGTGCCAGGCTACTAACAAAACTATAAAAACGATACAATAGCTCAATAACAGTAATGATAATTTATTAGAGAGTGTACAATTGCATATAATTATAGATAATTGTTTAGCTTTATATCGTTATTCCACTAAAATCTGATTGCATGGATAAGTACTTTACATCCTAATATGCGCTCTAAGCGCATTGCAATAAAGTTCATCTTGTCTCTACCCTGTACTCAGTATCTCCCCTGGTGTCTCGTAAAACTAGAATAAATTAAAAAAATGGCTGATCATCTTAAAATCATCTGTCTTGATAAAAGTAGTGGTATAGTTATATAAATATCGACACTTTTTGCTGTGCCGCTGCTTCCATACAACCGATTACTTCTTAACTGAGAATCACCCAAATATATCTATAACCTATAAGTACATAAATATTCGAGTCTTAAGAATCTTACGAGGGGAGGCAGGCAACACATTTTCATACAAACATTTTCGAATGATTCCTCCTTGATTAAAAGAAGTGACTTTCACACATATAATATAAATTTACTCATTCTATGTTTCAAATCAACTAGAAGCCCTTAAAAATTAATAAAAATTATCAAATTTTTATTACCACTACAGACGTCTAGCGTGGAGATTCAATAAGCATTTACAAAAAAAACAAAACTTAGAGGCCTAGTATAACTACTTATTATTCTTTGAGTAATATTTATGGAACATATATCTAGTATTCGAGGAGGAAATCCTCAAGAGCCATATTCATTGTCCTTATCCCATAGTATTTGCCAATTAGTGCCAGCAATAGTTTTTTCAAATACCTATTTCTCAAATGTCTCTTAGCTTGCGTCTGCTCTTAATTTGTCTACATTAAACTGCCCACTACTGTACCTAATAAATATATTGTGGGTGTCTCCACTAAACCACCATATAAAAATGTTTTGTATAGCTGGCAACTTTTAATTCTTTTTGAGAAATCTTTTGTGAATAAAAATTAAATCATCTTGCCAAATCCCATTAAGATAGGATCCTCAAAAACATATTTTTTATCTCAGAATTCCATGCACTACACTGCTTAGCACAGGAATGTGTGTTCTTACATTACCTGCAAGTACCTCTCTTTTTTTATTGAAACATGTTTAATGCAACACACTCAAAACGCATTCACATGCAGTATTGCAGATCATGAGCCTACATGCAGAGAAACATGCGTTTGTATGGCAAATCTGCATGATGCAGATCTGCACCCTGAATCTGATCTGTATGGGGCAATGTGAGAATTGCCTTATAGTACAAATAATATCATCAATTGTAACATGTTATGACGTCACATGAATTTTGTTTGTTTGAAGAGAGAGATAGAATGCCTCTGTTTACATTATTTCACTGTTTTTGTTTACATTAGATTGTTTTCATAGTCCATGCAATTTTTTCTAATTTTCTGTGGCTTGACAAGGCTTCTAGACTGATTCCTTTGCTTGCCTTTTGGAGGGAACAAAATGGAAGAAAGTTGTAACTTCACCTTACAAGTAATTTTAACCTACAAGATGAGAATTAAGTAATCTCAATTATTTACTTGTTAAACTTGTAAGTTTATTAATAATCTTTAATGGTAAGTGTTTCTCTAAATTGTAAAAGTGTTTTCCTATAAAGATTTAGGTAATTTACATGTAGATTTTGTTTTAGCAGGACACATAAGTTTGCTGTGGAGATGGCTGTCGGCCTGTTTGTTTAATTTCTTTATAAAATGGTGAGAACCTTCAAAAAAAATTTTTTTTACACCTTTTCTTTGCTTGCTCGACTCGCATCTTATGGTCATAACACTAACCTAACCTAGTGTGAAGTATCACCATTTGGGCCCTGGAAGTACAGTTTAGCCGAGGATAATTGGACCTAGCTTCTAATATAGTTGGAAATTTCAATATACATATAGACAACCCAAAGTGAGTTTGGATTTTGCTTCAACCCCCCTTGCGATTAATAGTTCAATAACCTTCCGGCAAGTCTATTGAGGTAGGTCTGGTAACCGAGTACTTTTTATACTTTATTTCGACCTATCCATATAGTTTTAAAACAATTTGCCTTTCCCACATAAAACCCCTTTATTTTTAATATGCTACAATAAAGTTGGTTACCTGTCTATTCCAACTTTTATCCCCTATTTCTTCATGAAAATACTATTGAAATATATTTAAAAAATCAGGTAAAGAGGATGTTGAGTGAAACTCAGCTTTAATATATTTATAGCTTAATTAACATAAAATAAAACTTTGCTGTAGCACAAAATGGTTAAACTAAAGTTTAACAGAAGAAAACTACCTATGTTTTTCAAATCAAGGTTTAATTATTATCAAGGTTTAATTTTTATCAAGGTTTAATTATTTATAAGTAATTTATTTTAGATTATGATATTCTACACTACTTCCAAGACTTGTAATATTGTTTAAATTTCTGTACAACTATTGCAAATATGAAATTATTTAATTATTATATTGATAAATTAAGAAAACTTGTTTATCTGTATCCAATTAGTTTTAATAAATGATAACTTACAATTTGCACTGAAACAAATGAAATAGGTATGCAGAGGAGTAGAACATAACTCAAAGCAGTGTTTCAATATTACCAACTAACAATATTTAATAAGTTTAAGCTATTTTTTTATAGATATAACTGAATTTAGATTTAAGTAACGAAAATCTAAAGACAACAAATTAGAAAGTTATAAATGAAATGTTCCATTTGCTGTTTATTATAGAAACACTTTCAGATTTGTAACATTGTTTTTGAATAAGAAGTAAAGAAGTCTCTAACTGTCGGAAATTAGAAAGATGAATCATTAATGCAAGGGTATTTGAAGAATGAAAGAAGGTACCTAGTTCTCTAGTCATAATGTAATCAATATCTGGATACGAAATATGAAGAACATACCTCGCCGCTTCTAGCAGCTGGAGAATTTTCTTCAATTTGGTATATTATATGTGGCAAACCGGCTTCGCCAAGCAAGGAGAATCCAAATCCCAAATTGTCACTACGATTCAGGACCACAAGTCTTTCTTCAGCCATATTCGGAATACAGCTGCCCTGATCACCATCCTCCGAAGGAAATCACTTATCACTATTTCGCTAAACCATACAAGTGGATTTTTGAAAAAATGTTTTAGTTGAATTTAAAAAAAATGAAAATTATTCTGAGTAGTAGTAGCAAGCAAGAGCAAGCGCACCCAACCAAAGCGAATGGGGGAGGGAGGAGGGAGGCACAGCCACAGATGAAGGATTACAGAGTAGATAGACAGTGGTAATCTGTGGCACAGATATGGCACAGATAACAATAATATAATCCACGCATGGACTTAAGCCGAAAATATATGTGTCGTCCTTGTTGCTGTATCGGATTCATACATTTACTACAATATTTAAAGACTGACAGCTTTGAGTATCTATTACACGGGAGTAGCCCTAAGTACTTCATTCCATACAAAAGTTTCCGTCAATTCTGGCCGGGGACGACGTACATACGTATAGCACACTAACGAAAACAGTGTCCGTGATGCTAGCGTACCCACGATCAATATACGGTTTTTCGTTATGCCATTAAATACTGCGTAAATAGTGCCAAATTAGTGTAAAAATAAAAAAAATAGTGCCTCTTTAATTTAAGAAATCAAGACCATTTTTACTGTGTACGCTACCATGACGTCAAGCTAGCGTACCCATGGCCGACCCCAAGAACGGCATATATTTAAGCAACGAAATTGACACACAAAATAGTTCGCAAATAGTGCCCTGGCTTTACAAAATTTCATAATCAGTACTCTTAAAGGACCAAAGATATTGAATTAAACATTCTTAGCTGGCGTCAACCTGGCGTACTCATAATAGTTCTCATAGAAAATGAACTTTACTGGTTACCAATTCTATATGTATAAATAGTGTGTCAAATAATGCCTCTAACAGTAAAAGTATTTTATGTTAATTCGCAGTAAAACAATATAAAAAAGCAATTAAATTATTTTTATATATGAAGTACAGTCATGTACAGAAGTGATAATATTTTCGTAGTATAGTAGGTAAGTTAAGGTACTTAGTAGGTAGTTTGAAATTCTTATATGAATTTATGATTGGTGAATTCGAATTGAAATAAAATATCTTTTCATGAAAAGTACCTATTTATTTTAGTAAAAATACATATATAGATAATCTCTTAGTGCATAAATTAATTTTGTGTGTAACTGTACTACAATACATATGTTCCTAGAATTTAACAGCCGCTTTATGGATTGTTGTGAAGCGGATTCACATAAAATACTTTTACTGTTAGAGGCACTATTTGAGACACTATTTATACATATAGAATTGATAACGATAAAAGTTCATTTTCTATGAGAACTATTATGGGTACGCCAGGTTGACGCCAGCTAAGAATGTTTAGTTCAATATCTTTGGTCCTTTAAGAGTATTGATTATGAAATTTTGTAAAGCCAGGGCACTATTTGCGCACTATTTTTGTGTGTCAATTTCGTTGCTTAAATATATGCCGTTCTTGGGGTCGGCCATGGGTACGCTAGATTGACGTCATGGTAGCGTACACAGTAAAAATGGTCTTTATTTCTTAAATTAAAGAGGCACTATTTTTTTTATTTTTACACTAATTTGGCACTATTTACGCAGTATTTAATGGCATAATGAAAAACCGTATATTGATCGTGGGTACGCTAGCATCACGGACACACGAAAACATGCAATACTCACGCAAACTTACACTAGCGTGTTGTTGCTATGAAAGCACACTTCAAAAATCACGTCACGCATTATTTATTGTTATTTTTTTTAAAGCTTTCGTTTCTAATTGGTTTTTTTAAATAAACAAAGTTAATTAACATTGTGTTAAAAAAATAAATATAAGTATGGATGAAGGTACAAACATAATAAAGTGGAATAGTTTGAGTGGTTATGGGTAGTCATGCTCTCTTAAAAATCTCTTCGGCGATGTCGTGTGAGGCGGGTCGTTGCGTTCCCTAAAATATGGTTGAGCGAAGCGATGGCTGGTTCATGCGTCATGCTCGTGAACGGATGCTGCCAGCGGAGATGAGTCTGCTCCATACTACTTTATTATTGTAATAATAATTATTATTAAATTTAGATTGTATTTTACATTACGCAACTTGTATTTATACTGTATGACAGAGCAATCAAAATGTAAGTGAACATTTATTATTTCTCTGATAAAGATTTAATGGCAGTATGGATTCTGGTATGGTTTTCTAGACCTGAACTTGGTTTTGCAGCGGTGTATCCTTGTCATTCTCTATACAGTCTGAAAGGGGGGGACTGATGTTGGATTTGGTTTTGGGTTGGGAGAGTAGTGCCAGAATCGACAACAGTGTTTGGGTAATCACATGCATGTGTCCTGCCGTTATGTTTACAGTTTGTTATAATAATGTACTCTGGTACTTATATTTTTTTTTTCTATCTTTGTAACATAGTGGTGCCAATTCTGGCGTGATTCTCTAAACTTAAAACTAAATTTAACATCAGTCTCTCCTTTTCATTCTGTATAGAGAATCACAAGGATATACTGCTGTCAAATTTAAGTTTAGGTTTAGAGAATTATGCTAGAATCGACACCAGTATCCATATGTGGTTATAAGTAGTCATGCTCTCTTAAAAATCTTTTCGGCGGTGTCGTGTGAGGCGGGTCGTTGCGTTCCCTAAAATATGGTTGAGCGAAGCGATGGCTGGTTCATGCGTCATGCTCGTGAATAGGTGCTGCCAGCGGAGATGAGTCTGCTCCATACTACTTTATTATTGTAATAATAATTATTATTAAATTTAGATTGTATTTTACATTACGCAACTTGTATTTATACTGTATGACAGAGCAATCAAAATGTAAGTGAACATTTATTATTTCTCTGATAAAGATTTAATGGCGGTATGGATTCTGGTATGGTTTTCTAGACCAGAACTTGGTTTTGCAGCGGTGTATCCTTGTCATTCTCTATACAGACTGAAAGGGGGGGACTGATGTTGGATTTGGTTTTGGGTTGGGAGAGTAGTGCCAGAATCGACAACAGTGTTTGGGTAATCACATGCATGTGTCCTGCCGTTATGTTTACAGTTTGTTATAATAATGTACTCTGGTACTTATATATTTTTTTTCTATCTTTGTAACATAGTATCCATATGTGGTTATGAGTAGTCATGCTCTCTTAAAAATCTCTTCGGCGGTGTCGTGTGAGGCGGGTCGTTGCGTTCCCTAAAAAATGGTTGAGCGAAGCGATGGCTGGTTCATGCGTCATACTTGTGAACGGCTGCTGCCAGCGGAGATGAGTCTGCTCTTTCTTCATTGGATACTATTAATCGTTGTACTAAACTTTAATCGTTCATTTTTTTTCTGTCTAAACAGCAGGACACGGCATTCCTAAACTTTGTTAAACCAGTTTTTTATATAGTCACAATGTTTATATTATTTGTATTTGTAATGGAAAGTGACTTTATGACTTATCTCATAATGAAGTCATTTTTCAATTTGACGACTCTGTATATAATACAGGGAGAAAAAAACAGCCCTTGCTGAGTTTCTTGCCGGTTCTTCTCAGTACAAGGTCTCCCGCCGTAGATTTGCGAACCGATGGCGTAGCTTTTCGACATTCACAAGTGCTTGTAACAGCCTAGACTGAATAAACGATATTGAATTTTGAATTTTTGAACATTGACTTCTTTTTATATTCCACATTTAAAATGTGAACACAATTTTATTTTAGAATTCCAATCTATAAACAAATTTATTTTACAGGAATATACTTTTGTAAACATTGCAATAGCTTGATCAAATCATATAATGACGCTATAAAATTCTTTAACAACTCATTTAAAAAAATTAGGTACTTAAAACAAAAAAATGTGAATTAAATAATCAAAATCCAAATTACTTAAAATAACCGTAAATAATTTTTCAACCAATTATTATGTATACCACTTTATTTACAGATTAACGAGGTTATTGTTATAGGGTTTTTTTTTTCAACACTGAACTTAGCGCACCCTGCTGGTGCATAGCTTATTTCGGCATTGTGCGAAACTGAGCCGCATTATGCTCTGTAATTGAAAAACTACCTATAGTCCGGCCGCTCAGAGATTGCGTTTCTGACAGCTCGTGTCAGTTCCTTATGTTGATAGCATTACAGTTAATTTTCGAATATTTTTTTTTTATTAGATCTAAAGTGTACTTTAGCGGCCGGACTATATCAGCGGGTCAATTATGCTTCAGTAATAAAATTCTAATGTGATGTCAATATGATGTTGATGCCAAGTTGACATTGTTTTTAGATGGTATTATGAAACATTCCTATGTCACATCAAGATCATATCAATATTATATCCTGTATCACATTTTTGACGTTTAAGCGATACTATTTTAAGTCAAAAAGTTGAACGTAATACGCATTTAAGTTGATATCATTTTATAGAGTTGATCATCATCATAGCATAAGTTGATGTCATTTTGATATCGCATTTTTCGGAGAGCATAATACGTAATGTGAAATAGACATCAAAACAATATCATAAATAGCGAGCATAATTGGCCTGCTGTCGAGCGTACATTATCAATTTTTTTTTAATAAGTTTTACGGCCGTGAATTTCTCCATTTCGGCCATTCATTAGTACATTTCATCATTTTATATGTTTTCGAAAGTGTTCATTACATATTCAAATAATATTTTTTTTTTTTTTTTATTCGGTAATAGGTAAGCGCTTGACCATATTTCGCCTGATGGAAAGCAATATTATGGTCTACGATGGAGCGCGCTTACCTAATAAAAACCGGTTCACTCTTGCTTTGAAGACCGCTAGATTGTAGTGCTCGGGGAACAAGGGCTCAGGCAAGGAATTCCACAGTTTGGCAGTCCGCACGATGAAGCTGGACGCGAATCGCTTAGTGCGAGTCTTTGGAACTGCCACCGTGAATCGATGTCGCCTTGCCGTTTCCCTGCTCGTCCGGTAGTAGAAAGGGGCGGGAGGAATTAGCTCATGTAATTCCTCTGCGCACTCACCGAAATGCAACCGATAGAACACCGAAAGACTGGCAACTTTGCGTCGATGTTCCAGGCTTTGTAACTTTGCCCGGCAAAGCGCGTCATTTCCAATGAGCTTTATCGCTCGTTTCTCAATTGCCTCCAACGCCTCAAGTTGGTACTTAGCCGATCCATTCCAGAGGTGCGAACAATACTCCATG